ACTCACATTCTCCTGCTTTCTAGCCTGGTCCCTTAGTCACTAGACCAAAACTGGCTCTCATCATTTGCAATTATGCTTTCAGATACTGATACCTACACTGACTTTGGGCACAAGCAAGAGACAAGACAAACACTGTCATATATCTGAGGGTTAGTATGAAGAAGATGAGCAGTTTTAATTAATTCATAGGATTAATACAAAATTAGAAGAAAAATGATTTTGCAGAATGTTTTCGAGTCATTTCCTACCAGTCTGCAACACAGATTAATATGGGAGGCAGATAGCTCTTCTTTACTGGGTATTTACAATGGGACTCTGAAAGGGAAACATCAGAAAGAAGAACCTCACCCTTATCCACCATGGGTGCCCTCTATCTGGGTAGTCTTTATCTGCCCAAAATCTAGGATGGAAAATTCTGGGACCCCACATATCTGAAAGTGCCCTGGACAAAACAAATTGCATTGCAAAACCCAGTTGAGCAAGAAGCTTGACCAGAAGATGACCTATGTTTCTATCAAACTGTTTCTGTCATATATTCACATGTTGTTTCCAAATGCACATGCAAATCAGTTAAAAACATACAAAACAAGGATCAGGGAGAGCAGGTTTCAAATGTGCATTTAGTAGTAATACATTGTTACTGTTGTTATAATTACCACATCTTAGATATTGCACACTTCATCGATGCATAATTCTTTTAAACAAAACACACATTTCTTAATAAAAAGCATGCTGGGTAAATTTTGGACACAGTTCCAAGACAACTGGAAAAGTATTACTTATCAGAAAAGAGAGTGTATCAGCAAAAAGACATAGTAAGACAATACACTGTTTTAATACATGACCTAAACACCTTAGTTCTCATTATTAGCTTTTAAAAATAGTTCATCTTGCAGGCCTCCCAGTTGGGAAACAAAGGGGAAAAAGTGTACAGTACAATCTCTGATGTAACTAGTGAAATGGAAATTAAAATGAAAGTATTCCCCTGTGCTTCATTGCACTGACTTATACAAGTTACATAGACAAGCTTTACCAAGGAGTTATTTTTGAGACAGGCCAGCATAAATGTCACTGTCACTAAGAGGAAATGTCCTTTCCTATCCAAGTCTGAAGAAAATTTTGTACTGTGGCTTGTCCATATTATTTTCTATGATTTAGTGCAATGAAGCACAGAGTTGCTAGCTTGGTCTTTTTTATATATATTAAAAGAAGCACACATAGAAATTTGTGGAAAGGGAGGCATTTGTTATTCTGTGAAACAAAATTGAAAACTGTACTGAAATACCCTTCAAATAGCAAGAATTCTTAAACCAATGCAGAAACTGCCAATCAAAACACACAGGGCAATTTTTCAATAATTTTACTAATTCATAACAGCCATTACCACATTCAGTTTTAAGGCAGCTCATCTCCATGATTTGGCAGCAGTACAACTGCTTCAGGTTATTATGGTGGAAAAATAAAAGAATATTTTTTTAAAAAAAGTTCTCTCCTCTATTCAGTAGCTAAAACAAATGCACCCCTTAATAAGTTGCTGCTGAAATTATGAAAGCAGAGAAGTCACTTCACTATATTTCTGTTCTCTGTCCTATAGAATCAAACACATACTATGCAGTGCAAGCTTGACTTTTGGGGATTAGTTTTCTCATTTGTCCTGTAAGTATGAAGAATAGATTACAGAGGATGATGGTAGTGTGTATGCATTTATGATCCTGCCTTATTACTGTGATATTACAATTAATCATAAACTATACACGAACCAGTGCATATGGCTATGAAAAAGGCTAATGTAATTTTAGACAGTCTTAAATGAAAACATGACATTTTAAACAATGGAAATGTTATCATTATCTTATGTTGAAAACTGTGGCATAGGTGACATAGAATATAGGCCAAAGATGTAATTAAATATTGTCTGGTGTATGGAAAACAAATCCTGTAGGACAGGCTGAAGACACCAACTATGTTTTTCATGAAAAGAGGAACCCTGAAGACAAGACACAACAGCATTCATCAAGTAGCTGAAGAGTTACCTATTATTTGTATCTTCACCTCCAGTATCTGAATAGATATATCTCATTCTTTAAAAAGCAGAACTACAACTAATGATATTAATCAAAGGAGGAAAGATCTTGGTTGAAATGTTAGGTTCTTGGTTAACAGCAATTTGAAATGAGACCCAAGTTCCTATCAAGAAAGTGAACTTATCTTTAAAGAAAAAATGGGGGAATGCAGGAGACTGGACAAAGAATGGCCAAGACTATGATTTTTCTGGGTACTGTTCACCTCTCTGAATTACACTGAGATTTTAAGAATGTGGTTTACATCTATTCTTTTCACTGGTTCTGAAGAAGAAAGAAAGAAAGAAAGAAAGAAAGAAAGAAAGAAAGAAAGAAAGAAAGAAAGAAAGAAAGAAAGAAGGAAGGAAGGAAGGAAGGAAG